ACAACTTCCACTAGTGAGAGGGGCTGGATTTGAGAGGGACCTGACTTCTCAACATCTGAGTTTTTACCTCTCCTAGTGGCCTACGTCTCACCTCTTGGCGCTATAAAAAGCTCCATCCTGTCACTTCTCCATATTGTTTCATACTATGGAACAATGCTCTTCTCCAGACTGAGGGACTGACCACCTCAAAACTTTAAGGGTGATGGACTGATTACATCGTCTTCAAGTATCTTCTGCTTCTATCAACTTTTCTGTACTTGACTGAAGAAGCCTACTGTGTAGGCGAAACGTTTCATAATAAAGATACCTAACTGTTGCATATGTGTCTTACCTAACAACCTGTCGGTATTTTATACCATTTTAATGTTCCATCTCCTTTATTTGTTCCTGTTTTCCATTTATACACCTCGATCATATCCTCCCTAATTCTACGCCTTTCGAGAGAGTGCAGATTCAGGGCCCTTAGTCTATCCTCATAGGGGAGATTCATCCAACTAGGTATATTTCTACACCATAGGAAAGTTAGCACAGGCACCTCTGTGACCACAAATGCAAGTTTGAGCTAGAGTTCGTCACGGCCACGCTAGCTGGAGATTCGTCTGTAAAAACTTGCATTTGTGGTCACAGAGGTGCCTGTGCTAACTTTCCTATGTTGTAGAAATATACCTAGTTGGATGAATCTTATTGTGGCTAGCTGGTCTAGTGGCTAACGCGACGGGCTGGAGTTTTGAGACTCTATGACCGCGGGTTCAATCCCGGCCGGGGGTATGGTTTATGTGGAATTCTTTAAAATTCGATTCCTACTATGGTGTCAGTACTCTGTTGAACCCCCCTTCCTTTGGAGCCCTAAGCACGTGCTTACATTGCTTAATGGTTAATCCAGGGTTGTATTAAGCGTGTACTATATAGTCTGCATCACAGGCCAGGGCAATACCGCCGTCATGTGTCACGTCCTAGGAAGTGCTGCTGCTTATTGTTATTATTATAATCAAAAAGAAGCGCTAAGCCACAAGGACTATACAGCTCTGCTGCTGCTTATTACTGCTTTACAGATGCACAGATAAATCAATGTTCCTCAGTGTGTGGACGACACCTGATGTCTTAGTAAACCAGGGAGCACACATTTAGAGAGAAATTAATGCTCTGGTGCAGTCTTGATCTCCACTCGTCCTGTCCATCGACATCTCTGTCAGCACTCCAGCCCATTTTATTCTACTGCAGCCGGCATTAGAGTTTTTCTAGGCTATAATCTCATTTTCATTTTTTTTGTTTTAAAGTAAACTAAAGCCAGATTCTACAGGAGTGTTTCACTCTCACGTGTCGTATGCGCCTCAAATAAGAATGATCCGAAGCTCGCGCCTGGGTGGTGTAAGCAGGCTTTATGTAGAATTTCATATTTCCTGCCACAGCACGAGTTCCTGGCGTTTTAGGTTGTGACCCCAGTGTTGCCAGTAGCTCAGAACACGTGATCTTTGCCTGCTCTCAGTCCTTGGCTGACCTTCTCTCCATCCACAGCTTCCCTTTCTTGAGAATCTGGCCCTCGCTACCTCTACACTCTCTTCCTGGTGTAACCACATAGATAATAAACCATCTGAAGTCAATCATGCCTTTCCTGTTTTCATTCAGTTACCGAACAAGTCAGGTAACAAGCTAATCATTCCTGCAACACAGACAAGGCGGACTGTCTGATCAAATATACTACAAACCAAGCCCAACACTGGTGGCTGAAGAAAAAAACTGAAGTTCACAAGGAGACTCGTCTCAGAGCTAATGGGTATGAACAGTGAGGATAGACTAAAGGAACAATACATGACGAAAGGTATTATCGGGGCCAACAGGGTTCCAGAGAGCGAATTCTATAATAGGTAGAGCTAAGAGCTGAGACTCGACCTGTAGAACAACAAACAGGTAAATACACACACACACACACACACACACACACACACACACACACACACACACACACACACACACACACACACACAAACACACACACATACACACACACACACACACACACACACACACACACACACACACACACACACACACACACACACACACACACACACAAGTGGAGGGAGAAGCAGGAAGGTCAGGACGAATGAAGCCAAACTACAAGAAAGGGGACTACACAGGAATGAGGAACTTCCTGAACCGGGTTCAGTGGGACAGAGAACTGGCAGGGAAGCCAGTTAATGAGATGATGGAATATGTAGCAACAAAATGCAAGGAGGCTGAGGAGAGGTTTGTACCCAAGGGTAACAGGAATAATGAAAAAGCCAGGATGAGCCCATGGTTTACCCAAAGGTGCAGGGAGGCAAAAACCAAGTGTGCTAGGGAATGGAAGAAATATAGAAGGCAAAGGACTAAGGAGACTAAGGAGAGCAGTCGTAGAGCCAGAAACGAATATGCACAGATAAGAAGGAAGGCCCAAAGACAATATGAAAACGACATAGCAGCAAAAGCCAAATCTGACCCGGAACTGTTGTACAGCCACATCAGCAGGAATACAACAGTCAAGGACCAGGTAATCAGGCTAAGGAAGGAAGGAGGAGAGACAACAAGAAATGACCGTGAAGTATGTGAGGAACTCAACAAGAGATTCAAAGAAGTGTTCACAGAGGAGACAGAAGTGGCTCCAGAAAGACGGAGAGGTGGGGCACACCACCATGTGCTGGACACAGTGCACACAACCGAGGAAGAAGTGAAGAGGCTTCTGAGTGAGCTAGATACCTCAAAGGCAATGGGGCCAGATAACATCTCCCCATGGGTATTGAGAGAGGGAGCAGAGGCGCTATGTGTACCCCTAACAACAATATTCAATACATCTATCGAAACAGGGAGATTGCCTGAGGCATGGAAGACAGCAAATGTAGTCCCAATCTTTAAAAAAGGAGACAGACATGAAGCATTAAACTACAGACCAGTGTCACTGACATGTATAGTATGCAAAATCATGGAGAAGATTATCAGGAGAAGAGTGGTGGAACACCTAGAAAGGAACGATCTCATCAACAGCAGCCAACATGGTTTCAGGGACGGGAAATCCTGTGTCACAAACCTACTGGAGTTCTATGACATGGTGACAGCAGTAAGACAAGAGAGAGATGGGTGGGTGGATTGCATTTTCTTGGACTGCAAGAAGGCGTTTGACACAGTTCCACACAAGAGATTGGTGCAAAAACTGGAGGACCAAGCAGGGATAACAGGGAAGGCACTACAATGGATCAGGGAATACTTGTCAGGAAGACAGCAGCGAGTCATGGTACGTGGCGAGGTGTCAGAGTGGGCACCTGTGACCAGCTGGGTCCCACAGGGGTCAGTCCTAGGACCAGTGCTGTTTCTGGTATTTGTGAACGACATGACGGAAGGAATAGACTCTGAGGTGTCCCTGTTTGCAGATGACGTGAAGTTGATGAGAAGAATTCACTCGATCGAAGACCAGGCAGAACTACAAAGGGATCTGGACAGGCTGCAGACCTGGTCCAGCAATTGGCTCCTGGAGTTCAATCCCACCAAGTGCAAAGTCATGAAGATTGGGAAAGGGCAAAGAAGACCGCAGACGGAGTACAGTCTAGGGGGCCAGAGATTACAAACCTCACTCAGGAAAAAGATCTTGGGGTGAGTATAACACCAGGCACATCTCCTGAAGCGCACATCAACCAAATAACTGCTGCAGCATATGGGCGCCTAGCAAACCTCAGAACAGCATTCCGACATCTTAATAAGGAATCATTCAGGACCCTGTACACCGTGTACGTTAGGCCAAGCACGTAAAGAAACTAGAGAAAGTGCAAAGGTTTGCAACAAGACTATTCCCAGAGCTAAGAGGTATGTCCTACGAGGAGAGGTTATGGGAAATCAACCTGACGACACTGGAGGACAGGAGAGATAGGGGGGACATGATAACGACATACAAAATACTGAGAGGAATTGACAAGGTGGACAAAGACAGGATGTTCCAGAGATTGGACACAGTAACAAGGGGACACAGTTGGAAGTTGAAGACACAGATGAATCACAGGGATGTTAGGAAGTATTTCTTCAGCCACAGAGTAGTCAGTAACTGGAATAGTTTGGGAAGCGATGTAGTGGAGGCAGGATCCATACATAGCTTTAAGCAGAGGTATGATAAAGCTCACGGCTCAGGGAGAGTGACCTAGTAGCGACCAGTGAAGAGGCGGGGCCAGGAGCTCGGACTCGACCCCCGCAACCTCAACTAGGTGAGTACAACTAGGTGAGTACACACACACACAACACACACACACACACACACACACACACACACACACACACACACACACACACACACATACACACACACACACGCACACACACAAGCACACACACACACACACGCGCGCGCGCACTGCTGCAGTAAACGTACGTCTGCAAACCTAAGATTAATTTTTGGGAACCTAAGCAAGGAGCCATTCACGACACTGTTTACGACATATATCAGTACCATATTGGAGTATGCAACAGCTTATCAAACATATCAAGAAACCAAACAAAGAGCAGAGGTTCACTACGAAACTAGTCCCGTAGCAAAGGGTTATGTAATAAGAGGAGAAATTAATGTTACATTAGAGGAAAGAAGCACTAAGATTGATAGGATAACAACGTACAAAATACTCAGAGAAATTGATAGGGTAGATAGGGACAGATATTTCAGAGGTGGGAAACAGGTATGGGAGTACAGCATAAAGTTGAATACACAGAGGAGTCAGTGGGATGTTAGTAAATATTTCTTAAGTTTTAGAGTGGTACAGCGGAACCCATACATAGTTTTAGGCAGAAGAGGCGGGGACCAGGAGATGAGACTCTACCCTACATATAGGTGAGTATATATAGGTGAGTACAAGCTCAAAAAAAAAAAACTTAGTATATATAACTGAATGTATAGAAATGCTTACTAAATATGAAGTGTAAAATGCAATTTCATAATCCCATTGAAAGGCACAAAGATGTCAGCCAAGTTAAAATTACACACTAACCTGAACCTCTGGAATTGTCTCATAAATACTGTCTTCAGTTAAAGCTGCGTCTTGTGTGATGTCTGCGAGTGTAGTACAGAAACCAGAAGAACGTGCATCCTCAGTCCTGTTCACTGTTGATATATATATATATGTATTAACATGTAATTGGTAAAGTAAACGAAATTCTGTATATTTTCTTGTATTCTCTAACACTAATTTAGTTTACATTATAATTAAATATGCTATAAAATATTTGTTTTAAATACTCGAAACTCGCATTAAAACAAATATTACACACTAAAACAACTGAAACAACTCGGGCAAGGGGAATGATTACGGCTGTGGTGTGGCAAAACGGTAATATTAGGGAAAATAAGTGAAGGGGTAGCGAAAACTGGTGCGCTTGCTGTGGGGGAAAAGGAAGCTTGGAGAGGTGGAACTGAGATCATTGGTGAGAAGTGCCGCTTGATGAGCCATGATATCTACAAGCGCGAATTTTTTTTTTTTCAGTGGTAATGGAGTATTCTGTGTTAATGACGAGCTAATCAGTACCATGGGCCCCACCGATGAATAAAAATACTTGAGTGTTTGTCCGTGGTGAGAGCAAGGGGTTCTTATATAAGCTTTCTAGTGGACGAGGGTCTCAGGAACATCACTGCATTCCTCTCAAGCTCCGTTACCTGATCCCGAAACTACATCGCCGTCTAATCCTCAGGTGCGTGCTCCAGTGTGTTTGCAATGGCTTTACCTACCACACGACATCCCAGTTTCATTACTCCATGTATCTATTGCTGATAGTGGCCGGATTTACCTGATTTTGCCTCACATTCGTCATGCAGAAGAGCAAGCGACTTGAGTCACTGCTTACCTCAAAAGATCCTGAAGACAGGGAGAGCCCGTTACCCACTGCAAGACCTGGCACTGGACCAGACCCACCAGGATTGTTAACTCTGAGGTAATAAGTGAAAGAAGGCGCTCCCAAGCATAGCGCCAAAATCTACACAACACTTGTGATTGAGCTGGCCTCTTATCAATGTGTGACGTTCCATTTGTGCACTGCTGAGTGTCATCAGGTTCCAGCCTCTTAAGTGGGAGAGATTATGTATGTACACTCTAGATTCGGGCAAACGCTTAAGTAACTTCGTGTAGAGCATCTAGAGAACGGCCCTGTGCTTTCGAGCTCTGCGACTCTTGTACTGAACTTGGAACATGGGCCATATTCCGAAGATATGCCTGAGAGTGCACGGAAGCCGTGTGAAGAGCCACGACGACATCACCAAGTTGTATGTGGATGATTACGGCAAGTGTGATTTCGGGAGCAGAGGGAGGTTTGCTTCCATTTCGTGGGTGCGAAAAGGAAGCATTGCTGGTAGGAAGGGAAGGTGGCCATTGTGCTGGTCATCCAGGCCACCGCAGACAGAGTAACGCTTTCCCACGTACGGTGTCCCTGTCATTATCACCTGGGTTAGGTTCATAGCCAACGCTAAATCACTACATCCTAAAATACCCTGAACTGCAGGAGTGGTTGGGCCAAAGACAGTACAAAAGCTCTCAAAGCTCTGGGCCTCTCCACTGCGTTTATGAAAATGTGCTCGGCGAAGGCCTTAGCCTGGACCCAATTCCTCTAGCGTATGTAGTCTATGAGTTCGAAGGGAGGGACAAATGTAGAACGTTTGATGTGTGCCCTGAGAACACTTGATGCGTTCACCGCAAATGGAGGTATCATTTTCCCGGGGCTTTGTAGGAATTAACTGATCCTTTTCTCTTTTTTTTTTTAATGTGGTACTTAGCCACAAACACCCATACTTTTCTTTCCTAATTTCTTTTATCTATGAATAAACCGTTTTTTCTTCTGGGGGAAAGGCGACATTTTCCATAGTGGTCGACCCAGTCACTGTGGATGGATGCTGTCATTCACAGGATTAGATCCAAGCTTCATTTAAGTAGCAGCAGGATTAAAAAACAGTAGATTAAGAGTTGACTCTGTGATGGGTTGCAACAACACTGAGATTCTGAGGCCAATCAACTGTAGATTCCACCTAGGGAAATTTGCTTTGTGAACTGATCTCGTCACTTTCTACATATATGTACATATAAACTCTAATGCCTTATAAATAAAAGAAATTCTACCTATTACTCACAATCTTAAGTGAAGTGGTTTTTAATATAATGAAAATCTGTGAACAGTTACCATATTAAAGATCTTATGGATGATCCATTTACAATATTTAGTGCCTATATTCTTCAACAGCTGGTTTAACTAACATGTGATAAATATACACTTTAACATACCTGTACACAAATAACCCGCACTACTACTACCACTACCACCTTTACCACTACTACTACTACTACTACCTTTACCACTACTACTTCTACTGCTACTACTACTACAGCTGGTTTAACTAATATGTGATAGATATACACTTTAACATACCTGCACACAAATAACCCGCACTACTACTACTACTACTACCACTACCTCTACCACTACTACTACTACTACCACTACCTCTTCCACTACTGCTACTACTACTACTACTACCACTACCTCTACCACTACCACTACCACTATCACTACCTGTACCTCTACTACCCTGCCACTCCTTCTACCACTACTAGTACTACTACTACCACTACCTCTACCTCTAATAGTACTACTAGTACCACTACCTGTGCCACTGCTAGTACTACTACTACTACTACCACTACCTCTACCACTACTACTAATACTATTACTACTACTACTACTACTATTACTACTACTACTACTACTACTACTACTACTACTACTAAGTACTACTACTACCACTACCTCTACCCCTCCTTCCTCTACCACTACCTCTACCACTACTACTACTACTACTACTACTAACTATTATTACTACTACCACTACCTCTACCTCTACTACCACTACCACTAACTCTACCTCTACTTCCAGTTTACTACCACCTGCTCTTGTCTACTCCCTGCTTTGCCCCACTCTCGTATATAAGCTCCCTTCCCTTCGCGGTTGTGTGACTGGTTAAAGACCCAAGTCGGACCGAAACGTCATCATAAGTTACATTCTCCTATGTGCAGGTTATTTGTGTGTTGGTCCAGTCACGGTATTGTGCCTTGTTATTGTTTACTATACCTGTGTTACATGTGACCATTGGTTGTAACTTCCCACGTCTTCTTCGGAATATGTAAGAAAAAGACAATAATTTAGTAATTATAACACTGCTTATAATACTATTTATTATTATTACATATCTTCAAAGATAATTTACAGCTAATAACTGCTAACTGTTGTAGTGATAAATTATGCTTCATCCTTAATTACAGTTTTCTTACATGGGAGTTATATTCTGAGTTGCTGAAGCTAATTATTTTATGAATTGCTAAAACTATTTATATTTTGAGTTGCTGTATCTAATTAAATTCATCAGTTATTCACTTGTTTGTCCCTACTAGTAAAAAGTGTTTGGAGGCAGACCAGTGTTGGGACATCAATAAAGGTGGAACTATCAAGCTGGATATTGCTGACATATTGCTGGTAAACGTCGGGTGCACCAGACAAACAGTTATTGACTCAACATTGGCAAGTGTCGCAACAACCAAACACTCCGGTGTTGCAACAGTATTTATAAAGGCAGAAACACCGACCAGAAATGGTTAGTATATCTGAGTTTACTGCATGGATTCTAGGCAAAGATCTTCAACGAGTTTCTAGAATTTAGAAACCATAGAAGAAGACACACAGGAGGTATTACAAAGAGATAATAATATCTCCAGTTGTATACAAAGTATCTGGTTCAGTCGTGTAAGAAATTTTTTTTTCTTAAAAACTGGATAAAAAGTTGAGTGTTGTGTGGATACAGAGTTCAGAAGTGCATGTATCATAGAACCTGTAAATTACAGTCTTCAATCCGCGTTGCTGCAATCTTAGTTTCTATTGTTACTAATGTGGGAAATGACGTGTTAAATAACTGGTAGATTAATAACTAAATTAGTCACATGCATGAGCCTAGATGGTTGAATCTTAGTACTTCCTGTCTGGCATTGTGAGAGTTGGCAAGTGTGCTATAATTACAAGATCATATTAAAAACTGAGGGAGGCATATTATGAAAATTATCCTGCTTGTTACTAGAAATATGGAAGGATAAAACAATCGTTAGAGCTGCAATGGCCGATGTGAGTGTGATATGAATTCTTTGCTTCAGACAGCCAGATATAAAGGTGGTAGACCATAGTATTATACTTTTAACTTCCTTTGACCTAAATTAATGTCAATATTGTAATAAAGTTGGTAGAATTACCGACAATATGTAAAGTAAAAGGACACAAGTGCAACTAATGTGACATTTATTGTGGCAACGTTTCGCTCTCCAGGAGCGAAACGTTGCCACAATAAATGTCACATTAGTTGCACTTGTGTCCTTTTACTTTACATAATGTCAATATTGTTCAGTTTGAAACATTTAAGGTATACAATACTAACCTAAAATAAATAGCTACAATGATGATGATCACAAGGAAGGGAATGATGATCATCGACCAGAGTGTTGAGGGTGATGACTCCCAGGGCTCGGCCACTACACTCTCTGCTACCATACGTACATCATAACTCCTTTCACCTGCACCATACAAGTTATATTAAACATTTAATGGTGAAATTGAAGGAAAATAGAAAAGATTCATAAATTCTAAAATATTTTAATATCACAAGGAATGTTAACAAGACAAATTTTAAAAAATGATTTATTATGTAGTAAAAATTGACTAGGTTTAAATCAGAATGAAAACATTGTCTACATAAAGTAATAAAAGTATCTATATGACTGGCAACTCAGTATTTAGATATCCCTGAAGGAAAACATTACGTGAGTACATGACATTTTCCTTGTTTTTTTCCTTTAGACTTTTGCTTACAACTTCAGCACAGCTTTTCACTGTTGGTTCACTGTTGCAGGAAGGATCATGTAGCTACTTGTCGTGTGCATGTGACCGCTGATCATTGTTATAAAACCTAGTCTAAAAATCCTGAACTAGTTCCCATAGTTTTCAAAAACCTGTTTTTTTTTTTTTTTTTTTTTTTTTTTGCTTTAAACGTTCAAAAAAGATTACTTCTTAGACGAAGGAAAAAAGAAGTGTTTGTTTAAATATTTTACGATTTTTGTGCACAATAATCTGAAGCTAAAATTCTCATTATATCATGTTAAATATATTGTAATCAAGCTTTTCTGAACAGCTTCAAGATTTAATGACTGACACTCCTTATAATAATAAAAATTAGCTTCAGTTTGTGTGCTGGCAAATTTATCAATATACTAAATTAAAAAAATGGAGTCACTGGAATTACTGTGCTAATTTGAGAATGCCACTTATAGTCTGCGACTATAAGTGGCAGAATACAAAGTTGGCGTTGTTATCTGGCTGCATAAGTCCCACTTTGCCGGTTTTACTAAATATATTAGTTAAAATAATATGTCTTCAATAATTGAAGAATGACTCTTCTGTTTACCTTCACATTAGTCCTGATGCATTTACTATCAAGGATAATATCCTATTATTTTAGGCTCCATGGAGAGTTTATCTGGAGTTTATCTGGAGAGTTTATCTGGAGAGAGTTCCGGGGGTCAACGCCCCGCGGCCCGGTCTGTGACCAGGCCTCCTTAGGTCAGTGTCCCAGGATGCGACCCACAGCAGTCGACTAACACCCAGGAACCCATTTTACTGATGGGGAACATAGACAACAGGTGGAAAGAAACACGTCCAATGTTTCTACTCTGGCTGGGAATCGAACCCAGGCCCTCACCGTGTGAAGCGAGAGCGTTAACCACCAGGCCACCAGAGCCAGTTTGAAATTTTACGGAAATTATTAAAAAAATTAAATCATTCGACTCTAATTACTGGAGATTACCTTTAGTGATAGGCTTCAAACTTTAAAAAATGATGAGCTTTACTGAAAGAAATCTTGGCTTTCACTATGAGCTGTGAAAATTTTAATTAGACAGTTTTATTAAAAAAATGGATTCTGAATAATAACTGGAAAATGACTATTCCGGTCATCTCGAAGCTCTAATCGCTGGTGTATCTTATTCTGAAGTATTTTTGTATTGTAGTAGGACAAGGCAGGTGTCATTTTGTAAGTTTTTATTAAAAAAAGTAAAACTGGACTTTCTAACAAAACAACAAATCCATTATTTCTTCTTATGAGATTGTACAGAATTTTACATTGATTAGATATGAGGAAGAGAAAATTGAGAAATGTTGAAAACTCGCTTTTTATGGCTAAAATTATCAGGTTTCATGAGGTTAGTGATGTCTTAAAGGCAACATTTGGTACTGTTTTATTCTAGAGGCGACACATTGTTAGTTACTGTGGTCTTCTTTTTAACTTCCAACAAGGTATTCGTTTATATGATAAATTAGACACATATGCAACTCTTGGGTATCATTATTGAGGAAACGTATCGCCACACAGTGGCTTCATCAGTCCATACGTAGGAGAAACTTGAAGAACAGGAGGAGAATGAGGTAATTAGTCCCTCAACCTCTCCTGCCATAGGGTTTATAAGCTGCTTCTCCGCTGATATGCCGTATTCTATTCAAGATTGATGGACTGAACACATCGACTCAAGGTTGAGGGACTGATTACCTCATTCTCCTCCTGTTCTTCAAGTTTCTCCTACGTATGGACTGATGAAGCCACTGTGTGGCGAAACGTTTCCTCAATAAAGATACCCAAGAGTTGCATATGTGTCTAATTTATCGACATGTCGGTTCTCTGAACCATTCATCTACAAATTCGTTTACATATTCACAACACCTTATCTTTTCAACATAGGTGAGTTACAACTTGTGTTTTAAAAGTTCGTGGAACAACTGATAAAAGCAAGTTTTCACTGGCAGATTTTATCTAGATTTCTCCCCATACTTGTTTCCATACTGTATGCTTAAAATATCTCTTATGATCAGTTTCAAAACTTCAACACTCGTATTTCATACTATAGTGTGTCTGAGAAGGATGCCTTGATGCTGACAACGAGAGCTCTTGATTCTTCTCTTCCTTGATTCTTATCTTCCTTGATTTTTCTCTTCCTTGGTCCTTCTCTTCCTTGATTCTTCTCTTCCTTGATTCTTCTCTTCCTTGATTCTTCTCTTTCTTGATTCTTCTCTTCCTTGATTCTTCTCTTCCTTGTTTCTTCTCTTCCTTGGTACTTCTCTTCCTTGATTCTTCTCTTCCTTGATTCTTCTCTTCCTTGATTCTTATCTTCCTTGATTTTTCTCTTCCTTGGTCCTTCTCTTCCTTGATTCTTCTCTTCCTTGATTCTTCTCTTCCTTGATTCTTCTCTTCCTTGATTCTTCTCTTCCTTGATTCTTCTCTTCCTTGTTTCTTCTCTTCCTTGGTACTTCTCTTCCTTGATTCTTCTCTTCTTTGGGTTCTTCTCTTCCTTGATTCTTCTCTTCCTTGATTCTTCTCTTCCTTGATTCTTTCTCTTCCTTGATTCTTCACTTCCTTGATTCTCTCTTCCTTGATTCTTTTCTTCCTTGTTTCTTCTCTTCCTTGGTACTTCTCTTCCTTGATTCTTCTCTTCCTTGGTTCTTCTCTTCCTTGATTCTTCTCTTCCTTGATTTTTCTCTTCCTTGATTCTTCTCTTCCTTGATTCTTCTCTTCCTTGATTCTTCTCTTCCTTGGTTCTTCTCTTCCTTGGTTCTTCTCTTTCTTGGTTCTTCTCTTCCTTGGTTCTTCTCTTTCTTGGTTCTTCTCTTCCTTGATTCTTATCTTCCTTGGTTCTTCTCTTCCTTGGTTCTTCTCTTTCTTGGTTCTTCACTTCCTTGATTCTTCTCTTCCTTGATTCTTCTCTTCCTTGGTTCTTTTCTTTCTGGTTCTTCTCTTCCTTGGTTCTTCTCTTCCTTGATTCTTTCCTTCCTTGATTCTTCTCTTCCTTGATTCTACTCCTCCTTGGTCCTTCTCTTCCGTGATTCTTCTCTTCCTTGATTCTTCTCTTCCTTGATTCTTTTCTTCCTTGATTCTTCTCTTCCTTGGTTCTTCTCTTCCTTGATTCTTCTCTTCCTTGATTCTTCTCCTCCTGGTTCTTCTCTTCCTTGATTCTTTTCTTCCTTGATTCTTTTCTTCCTTGATTCTTCTCTTCCTTGATTCTTCTCTTCCTTGGTTCTTCTCTTCCTTGGTTCTTCTCTTACTTGGTTCTTCTCTTCCTTGATTCTTTCCTTCCTTGATTCTTCTCCTCCTTGGTTTTCTCTTCCTTGATTCTTTTCTTCTTTGATTCTTTTTTTCCTTGATTCTTCTCTTCCTTGATTCTTCTCTTCAATGGTTCTTCTCTTTTTTGGTTCTTCTCTTCCTTGGTTCTTCTCTTTCTTGGTTCTTCTCTTCCTTGATTCTTCTCTTCCTTGGTTCTTCTCTTTCTTGGTTCTTCTCTTTCTTGGTTCTTCTCTTCCTTGGTTCTTCTCTTTCTTGGTTCTTCTCTTCCTTGGTTCTTCTCTTCCTTGGTTCTTCTCTTCCTTGGTTCTTCTCTTCCTTGTTCTTCTCTTCCTTGGTTCTTCTCTTTCTTGGTTCTTCTCTTCCTTGATTCTTCTCTTCCTTGGTTCTTCTCTTTCTTGGTTCTTCTCTTTCCTGGTTCTTCTCTTTCCTTGGTTCTTTTCTTTCCTTGGTTCTTCTCTTCCTTGGTTCTTCTCTTCCTTTGTTCTTCTCTTCTTGGTTCTTCTCTTCCTTGATTCTTCTCTTCCTTGGTTCTTCTCTTTCTTGGTTCTTCTCTTTCTTCGTTCTTCTCTTCCTTGGTTCTTCTCTTTCTTGGTTCTTCTCTTCCTTGATTCTTCTCCTCCTTGGTTCTTCTCTTCCTTGATTCTTTTCTTCCTTGATTCTTTTCTTGCTTGATTCTTATCTTCCTTGATTCTTCTCTTCCTTGGTTCTTCTCTTCGTTGATTCCTCTCTTCCTTGATTCTTCTCTTTCTTGGTTCTTCTCTTCCTTGGTTCTTCTCTTCCTTGGTTCTTCTCTTCGTTGATTCTTTTTTTCCTTGATTCTTTTCTTCCTTGGTTCTTCTCTTCCTTGATTCTTTTCTTCATTGATTCTTCTCTTCCTTGGTTTTTCTCTTCCTTGATTCTTCTCTTCCTTGATTCTTCTCTTCCTTGGTTCTTCTCTTTCTTGGTTCTTCTCTTTCTTGGTTCTTCTCTTCCATGGTTCTTCTCATCCTTGGTTCTTCTCTTCCTTGATTCTTCTCTTTCTTGGTTCTTCTCTTCCTTGGTTCTTCTCTTCCTTGGGTCTTCTCTTCCTTTGTTCTTCTCTTTCTTGGTTCTTCTCTTCCTTGATTCTTCTCTTCCTTGATTCTTCTCCTCCTTGATTCTTCTCTTAATTGATTCTTCTCTTCCTTGATTCTTCTCTTCTTTGATTCTTTTCTTCATTGATTCTTCTCTTCCTTGGTTCTTCTCTTTCTTGGTTCTTCTCTTTCCTGGTTCTTCTCTTCCTTGGTTCTTCTCTTTCTTGGTTCTTCTCTTCCTTGATTCTTTTCTTTCTTGGTTCTTCTCATCCTTGATTCCTTTCTTCTTTGATTCTTATCTTCCTTGATTCTTCTCTTCCTTGATTCTTCTCTTCCTTGGTTCTTCTCTTCGTTGATT